CTGTTTCTCTCATTGATTTTTTTCCAAGGTAAATGCTGCAAATCACCAAATCACGAAGACACATGTTGTTCATGTAAGCAAAATTCGGTACAAGCTACAAATGAGACCTTTCTTAATGAATTAACTTAACTTTTTCTATAAATCAAATTATCGTTTTACAAAGAATATTCGAGATTAGCAACTATAGGATGTTTGAGAAAGTAATCACAACAAAATTAAAAACTCAATTTATAAATTTNCTTGATGGTAACACTTGACTAAGAAAGAAGCAAAACTCTAAGTAAGACACGTACGAATCAGATTTAATTCAAGGAATGTGATGATATTTATCTTTTAATATAAAACAATTACATTTATAACTAAAGCATCTAGATATAAGAAAAAATAAATAAGAAAATAATTGTGAGCAAAATGAGTTGATTAATTATGAAGGATAAAATACATATAAAGTGCAACAAGTATTTGTAAAAATCTTTAGTAGACTTCATGCCGTAGAGAAGCACAAGACAATTATACCGCTGCCTGTACATCCGACACTAGCGGCGCTCCAAGCACCAGTGATGCCAACAGTAAATTTTCCTGTGCCATTGCCAAAATTTGCGACAGTGCTCACGCGTGTGGCAGTTGTGCCTTGTCCTTGATCGTAAAGACCCATGACGTAAGTCGTTGGACGTCCAGATCACGGGATGTTTCGCCCGTCCAACGGAAACACATCTAATGACCAATTGCAACCTAAGTTTGGTGACGAGATCGCGACCACTAGCGTGATGATCGTGGTGGACTGAAATAGAGTCGCATCGATAGAATACAAGTTGTAGTTTTGCAACATAGCTCCTGACGCTCGATATGTAACACTCTGCGTGATGCACGGAGCAATCGTGATATTGGCTACTTGGACATTAGCTAAACAGTTCGAGGTGACATCATCATGGCAAATAACTTATTTAAAGTCCACACAAAAGATACTTACCTGCTTGTAGAGCACAGCTTTTGAGGCCTACGAAAAAAATCCACAATGATGTAATATAGAACTTTTCTTTCTGAACAGCTTACACAAAACGACAAATAAGGCTTCAATGAAAAGCCTCATGTCCATGGAGATTGAGCACATATACTGTCACGTATTGTAAAGCTTGAGCAAATGACGCAGTCGCTAAAAGAAAATCATAAAAAAATCCGATTCATTTGGTTGCAATGAAGAACGGCGGTGAAATCGATTTATCTACGGGCACTTAGACTCAGAATCGGACAATCCAAAACAAAGAGCGTGAGTGAATTGATCTTTGAACTGAAAGTTCATACTAAATCAGATTCCGATTGGAGAGAAAAGCAGCAGAGATCAACGACTCAGAAGTGCATAGAGAAAACAGAAGACTCTAAGAGTCCCGAAGTATCGCTGGAGAACTCAACTACCGTTTTTTCTTTCACATTCACTAACTTTGGAAAATTACTTGTGATAAATTTTTCTAAACGCCATCGCATGCTATTTTCAATGAGATCAATATTTTCCAATGATAAAACAATAAAATACCTGATGATTGTACTTCTACGGCAGTGCTTACAAAGGGAATTAATAATCTACGCCACAGACATGTTATGAAGACACTAATTTAACAGAACCGTATCTTTTCTGTTTCTTCGAGGAAAGGTTTCGGAAATTTTTCGTTGCGAGTAAAACAATTGCAATCATACCATAATAACACTATTCAAAGTTAGTGAAACTACTTGAGGACAGAAAAATCCACTAGATGATCATGGCTACAAAGGTCATATGAAAAGACTCTATTTTTGAAAGACATACTTGTTTTGTTCTCTTCGTGCGAAATATTGTGTCCCCACGGCGACAATATCTGTGTAATTTATTGACGTTGTTTTATGTTTGAGACTAAAGTATTAAGCGGTTTTTATACAAGTTACGAGCAAAGCTTGGCTTGTGTTCATTCAGCCATATATGTAAGTTGACTATGGATGATGCTGCAAGAAGATATATTGTTTTTTTCATAAGAAAAAATTATGCCGTGTTTTCTTTCATATGAAAAATATACCTTGTTTTTTCATATGAAAAAAGTACCTTCTTGTTTTTTTTTAAACGAAAAACAGATACTATCGTTTTGCTTGTTCTATCACATGCTATTCGAGCAGCTTCACTGGAGACGATATACAGACTATCAAATTATCGGTACAAAGTTCGTTCTACCTCGGGTACACTTGGTTTTTTCTCACTTGCTGCAAAGGAATGAAAAAATATTTACGATTCAGTCGAAACGGGTTCTCATTGCACAAACTAATTACTATCAAACTCTGCATAGAACGAAATTTTTAACCATGCCATCGCCCAATGATTATTGATACCAGTTTCATTTCGTTTTCGCTTGAAAATCGTTTCATTTTCAATCTCTCATCGGGTACAACTTCCAGTGTTCGACATGGGTCACTTTTTTAGTGACCCGATCCGAGTTTTTTTTTCTGACCCGACCCAACCCGACCGGACCCGAGGGTAAGAATTTTTTTCAAGATCCGACCCGACCCGACCCGAGGATAAGAATTTTTTCAAACATGACCCGATCCGAAGGCAATTTTTTCCTATATGTACATATCGGTTGTGCTTAAAATTGTTTTTTTCTTTCGCCTATCATGCATATATATAAATATATATCAGTCGATCGCTTTTCTTTCTTTTGAGCAATTCAATTTGTCAGTTCCTTTGTTTTTATTTTATTGCGCATTTAAAAAAATAAGGACATGTCCTTGATCTTTTCTCGGTTTTTATGTATCACTGATATTGCATAGTTAGGGCAACAAAATCATCTGATAATACTTCAGCGTTTTTCTGCATTCATTTATATCATGTACAGGATTTGAGACTATCACATCTCTAGATAAAATATTATATACTTACTATAAATGCTCTAAAGATATCAATGGATGGAAAATGATGAAATAACATAAAAGATGACATCATACATGCTGCTTTGTTATATCTAATTGTTTGTTGTGAGATCACAGAACTTATAAACAAAAAACTAACATGATTTTTGTTTCTGAAAAATACATATCTGACCCGACCCGAGCTTCTGCTGACCCGACCCTAGTCGGACACTGACAACTTCGCGGATGTAGGTGAGACTGGTGTAAATCAATCGAAAACAGAGTGTGGGATGTGCGTGTAAGTCAGGTCAACATCGACGTCCAAACCAAAACCAACACCTAGACGCGCAACAACATCCATATCCTTCTATTTTTTCTCATCTGTAGTAACTTTTCGATCAGCTATATTTTATCATGACGTCTTGGAATACAGTTTGTCACTATTAATTTGTTGATTGTAACCAATAACAAACTGATATTAATATAGTTAATAACTGCATCATAGTAACTTTCATTCTTATAAATCACATTCCCGAAAACTTTTGATTTGTAAAAGAAACTTTCTAAAAATTAACCTTTCTACGTAAATGGTTGAATAATTTTGAGATATTGAAATTTCTATACACTTCACCGTTTTTTATAATAAACTGTTAACAAAACCAAATGAAATGCTGGTAATATCGGTATATGAACTAGATATCAGTAGCTATTAGATATTGAAATCCGAGTCTCTCTTGCTTTTCTTTTTGTCGAACAACAAATTCGACAATATGGTGTATTATAGTTAAGTAAAAAGTATTTGTACTTGTATACTTGTCCAATCACTGTGTTTCAAGGATGTGGCGATGGGGAGGGGATGCGTCCTCCACTTTTGGAAGATTTTCAGTTTTTTCCAGCTAAAATAGTATTTTTTATTTAAAAAAAAAGATTATAAAATTGAAAAAGTTAGTTCAGCACCCCCACATTTAAAAAAATTGTATATGTATATTTTTAGCATATAAAAATTTTTGTTGCATCCCTCCCTCGTCACTTTTTTCTCTTCGCCACATCTCTGCTATGTTTAGTCGTAATTAATTAATGAATTCGATACTAGAAAAAAAGTTGTATTCTATAATTACTTCGATAAACGGAACTAGTCATCTTTAAGAATATAATTTCGTATAAATATTTCCATATTCAGATCACATTCAATCGTTGCTATTCAATTTTTCAGATCAACAGATTTTTTATTCTCGACGAAAAGATATCAAAAATTTGTCTATTTCTGTTGTGATCACGTTGAGAAGCAAAAATCAGAGAATACTCTTTCAAATTCGAGATGAAATTTTCTGATCGAATCGATAACATCTATTTTCTGATCTTTAATATGATGTTTCATTTTCTTACAGAGAACCACCTAAAAAGTCAAATTTGTTGTGGATCTTGCTTTGTTTTTCAAGGTTCAAGGTTATTAAAACAAAAGACAGTTAATGCATCAGACAGAGAATCAAGCAATCAATCGAAAGTATTTATTAAAAGCATATTGCTCTCTGTCAATGAGTTCTCTTAGTTATGTATTTCGCAGTGGTCACTTCACAGTTTCTTTTCCACTTCGATCATCTGTTTAGTCGAAACTTAACCTTCTCGATTTACAGCAACAAACAAGAAGTTCGGATTTCAGTATAGCACGATCATCTTTTGAAGAAAAGCGTTTCATCTTCAATTTTTAGAAAATATAATTTAAAGAAAATGTTAACTTGTTTTTGTTCTCTTTCTCGTTATGATTCATTCAATGGTATCATTGGCTAAATGACAACGAATCGTAATACACACGTTTATTCTTTTGGAGTTCATTGCTTGACAACGAAAGAAAACATGAAACGGATGAAGCGATTCAATAATGATTCTAGAATTTTTACGTTAACAATATTCGATGTTAAATGAGTACAAAGAAAGAGAAAAGAACAATAGTTCTAATTTTCAAGGATGAACTATGTAATTATTCATAACAAGAGTGCAATAAACATTCTTAAATATAAAAAACGAATATTCTTTTTAAAATCTCTCGCTATATTTTTTGATGAGTTCTTTGAATTTATTATCTCAATTTTTAAAATAATTTTTTTTTTTAAATATTTTAGATCTTAATTAAAATGCAAGTAAAATTTCTAAAACAAATATCAGATTCAGTGAATGGTGAAGCACAAATTTCAGCTGTTTGTTTTTCACCAAATGGTCAAAAATTAGCTATATGTATTGACCGTGTTGTACAATTATACGATGAAACAGGTGAATTACGTGATCGTTTTGCAACAAAACCAATAGATTCTAAATATGGTCGACAATCTTATGTTGTTACAGCAATGGATTTTTCACCTGAAAGCACTCAATTAGCTGTAGCACAATCAGATAATATTGTATTTGTATATAAATTAGGTTCTGATTGGAATGAAAAAAAATCTATTGTAGCTAAATTTGTACAATCAGCTCATGTTACATCATTAATATGGTTACCTGATGGTCAAATTATATTTGGTTTAGCTGATGGAAAAATACGTTCAGGAAATGTTAAAAAAAATAAATCTCATACATTATTTACAGCTGAACAATATACTGTAGTATTAACAGCAAATGTTTCACGTAAAGCTATTTTATCAGGCCATGCGGATGGAAGTATTTGTCGATTTATAATTGAAGATGAAGGTACAGGTGATAAATCAGGTTTAGTTGTACGACATTCATGTCCACCATGTGCACTTGTTTGGAGTGCACATGGAATACTTGTTGGAGGATGTGATCGACGTGTTGTCATTTATAGTAAAGATGGTAAAATTTTACAACAATTTGACTATAGTCGAGAGCCAAATGAACGTGAATTTAGTACTGGTATTTGTAATCCAACAGGTAAAATATTAGCTTTTATTTGAAAGTTATTTTATTTAATATCTATGAAACGTTTGAAAGAAAGAAAAAAAAAGAAGAGAAAACTTCAAAATATGTAAAACAGATAAGATCTATGATATTATAGGACAATTATAAAATAGTTAATGTCTCTTTGTTAATATGAAAAATTATTTTCTTCTGTTTACATAGACTTAACAAATAGTAACGATGAGACTAATAGAGAGATCAAACAATGACTTTATCTTCTATGCGAATACGCATTGAGAAATATGTCGTTTTTACAAGAGACGATGTGCTTTCTTGAATGGCCATAAACTAATAATACAAAACAAAAAACGAGTATATTTTAAAATGTTATTTATTATAGGTCAAGAATGTGTTTTTGGTTCATATGATCATATACGTCTTTATTCATATCAAGCAAGAAAAGGCATGTTTGATGAAGCGCCAATGAAAGAAATTAAAAATATGTATACAGTTACAGCAATGGCTTGGCGTTCAGGTAAAAAAAATAATAGTCTTATTATCGAATGACTTTTTTCTTTTTCCTATTAATGATATTCTTTCTTTTTTTTTTTGTAACTTAGATGGTGCACGTTTTGCTGTTGCTAATTTAACTGGTGGTACATTTTTATTTAATTGTTCATTAAAAAAATCAAGTATGAAAGGAAAATATGCAATTAACTTTGTTTCATTATCTCAAGTACTTATTGAGAATAAATCAAATGGAAAACGAACAGATTTAGTATCACGTAGTGGTTTTGAAATAGTTGATGTTAAAATAATGGGACGTGATCGTTATGCTGTTGGTTATACAACTCATACACTTATATTAGTTGATTTAGAAGATGAAAAACGTCGTTGTGAAGTTCATTGGCAATCGGCTGGTGATGAAAAATTTTCATTTGATAATGAAAATGTTTGTATGATATTTGCTAATGGAGAATTAACTTTAATTGAATATACACCTAGTGGAAGGCATGGTGATAATATATTATGTTCTGTTCGAACAGAATTTCTTAGTCCAAATTTAATTAGTGTACGTGTTGAAGAACGAAATTTACAAGGAAATAAAAAAATGGCTTATTTACTTGATAGTCGTACAATTGCAATAGTTGATTTGATGTCAACAAGTGGCGCCGCTGTTATTGATCAAGTTAATCATGATGCAAATATTAATTGGTTAGCATTAAATGAAACAAGTCGATATTTATTATTTCGAGATAAAAATCTTAAATTATATTTGTATGTATTATGTAGAAAAAGAAAAGAGAACTTTTATTAAATCATGAATTAATGTTTTTCTTTATTTTATTCTTTTGTTACAGATATAACCTTCTGACAAGATCAAAAACCTGTATACTATCATTTTGTATTTATGCACAATGGTATGTATATTAAATTTCTTGTGTTAATTGAAATGTAAGATGTGTTGTAAAGAACAATCACTTAATTTTCAATGATATGACTATGAGTAAACTCAATCTTCAGATAAATATCACTAAATTATGTTTTGACATGTCGGAACATGAGTAAATCTTGATTTTTATTCGTAATTTATTAGGATCTTCCCAGGTGATTAGGAATGTGTGGGGTCAAGTTCTTTGATTCAGGTCCTGATTTACAGAAAACTATTCCAGAACTTATTCATATCATATCTAAAAAGATCCTTTAATGCTTGTTGTTTGATTTATTTAGTTGATGACTAGAACTTTTCTGAATCATCTCTATTGAATTATGTTTTGATTTATAAGACCATTCTCTTAAAACCATACGGTATTTAATTATAATCTTTAGTTCCGATTAACATAACTTTTTTCTCGCGATCCCAATCTCGCACATCCCTAGTAATGATGATTGATATAGTCAATCAAACTAACTAGATTGAAACACTGTGGAAAAAAAAAGCATGAATTTCTTCTTTGATTTAGGATACCAGATAGTGATGTTGTTGTTGGCCAATCTCAAGATAATCTCTCTGTTTGGTATAATATTGAACATCCTGAATCTTGTGATATAAAACCAATTAAAGGTGATGTTATTGAAATAAGTAAAGAACCATCAAAAAATCGAACTTATGTTAAATTAAATGACAATGGTGTTCAATCAACATTTGAACTTGATTCAAATAAAATTGAATTTAATACAGCTATTAATGATGAAGATTTTCGTCGTGCTGTTGCTTATCTAGATGCTTGTGGTTCATCAGATGAAACATCAAATGCTTTATGGGAAACATTAGCACATTTAGCATATGACAAACAAGAATATATTATAGCTGAACAAGCTTATACAGCAACAAGACAAATGGCTAAAGCACGTTTTCTTCATTCAATAAATCAATTAGCAAGAGAAAAAAATGGTTCATATGATCATTATGAAGTTCGAGCTAAATTAGCTATATTTGAACGACAATTAAAAACAGCTGAATCAATTTATTTAGAAAATGGTGATGTTGATAAAGCTATTGATATGTATCGTTCAATGCATCATTGGGATGAAGCTATAGCTGTTGCTGATCGTAAACGACATCCACAAGCTGATGAAATTCGTTCAACATATTATAAATGGTTAATTGATACAAAACAAATAGCACGTGCTGCTGATTGGAAATTAAAACAACATGAAGATGAAGAAGCTATTGCATTATATATGCAAGCTAATTTACCATCAAAATCAGCACAAATTCTTATGCAAAATGCACAATTAATGCGTGATAGTGAACTTGTTACACGTATAGCTATTAGTTTAGTTAAAGCAAATATGTTTGAATTAGCTGGAGATCTTTATGAACATGTACAAGAATTTCCTAAAGCATTAAGTTGTTATGAAGCTGGAAAATGTTTTCGTAAAGCTGTTAAATTAGCACGTAAAACAACTCCAAAAGATGTTGTTGCACTTGAAAGCAAATGGTATGTCAGGATGATAAATTGATGCAATTGAAAAAAAAACAACAAAACAAAAATGTTTATTTTTTGTTTGTTTGTTAGGGGTGATCATATGGCTGAACAAATGCAATATCTCGAAGCTGTAACACATTTTATTGAGGCAGGTGAAAATATGAAAGCTGTACAAGCAGCTATACTCGGTCGTCAATGGTCACGTGCATTGGAAATTCTTGAACAACAAAGAGATGACAATGATCCAGATGTTGCCAAATATTATAAACAACTTGGTAAATAATTCATATTTGTAGTTTGTTTCTCTATATATCTCTATGCATCAAATGTAACGACTGTGTATGTAGGGCGATTATAGAAAACGACAAAGTTCATCACACATATACATATATAACAGAAAGGGAAAATTCATATGTTATGATCTCATCTGAACAAGATGTAGATCATAACAGCAATGATTATTGGATGCGTTTCCATAAAAACTGAAGCCAACAGACATTAGACTTGTCTTATAATTGTGGGAAATAAATAATATCAATATTTTTGAGCTTATCAATACATATAATAGTCTGTTGATATGTGCTATATGTATCATGGATATGTACAACAGGCATATTTGTTAGTTGAATCAATGCTTATAATAATAATAATGTTAACGCAGGTTAATGATTCCGGTAGTCGAATCCGATCATCAGATTTCTGCTTCCAATTTTCCCTAGTTTTCCGATCGGAAACAGTCTATATTTCTTGATTGGAGAAATTAAGAAAAAAACGGAATACGACAATGAAAAGCAACAAGAGTTAAGGTTAAAAGATACATGTGAGTTCCACATTTTAGCTGCAAAGGAACTGCACTAATAATTTTTTTTCAAAAAGACAAGAGAAATTGATGTAACTTTGGAAAAAATGAAACTGACTTGTTTTTTGAAGTTTGAAGAAGCAGTATCTTTATCCTATTTGATTGAACTAAAATTTTTTTCTCTAGTTTCCCGGCATTGTTTGTAATGTCTGTTGTTTTTATGCTAAGAAAAGTTACTCCATGGATTTATTAAAATTCTTCTTAGAAAGCAAATTAATATGTTTTGAAATAATTTCTGTAGTTTTTTTATTTTTATCTGGAAAACGACTAACAAATAGACATTTTTAATTGTATGCAGAATCTGTTTAAAAAAAATTGAATTTCATTTTGATTTATTTATTAAAAACAATATGTCCTAGAATTTTAAATTCTTTTGAAAATTTATATTATTTTTAATATTCTGTATAGCTCATCATTTTGCTCAAATTCAAGAATTTGATAAAGCTGAACGTTGTTATTTGAAAGCGCAATGTCCAGGTGAATCTGTTGAAATGTATAATCGTGCTGCAAAATGGGAACAAGCATTTCGTATGTTTTATTCAATACCTATAATTCGTTTCGAATTTTTTCTATTCTTCAAAAAAAGGTCTTGCAAAACAATATATGAATAAAGATGAAGTCACTAAACTATATTCTAATCAAGCTAAAGAACTTGAAGCTAAAGGACGTTATAAAGAAGCTGAAAAATTATATATTACTATTAATGATAATGCAGCAGCTATTCTTATGTATAAACGTACGAAAAATTATGATGCTTTAATACGTCTTGTTCGTCAATATTATCCAGATAAAATGAAAGATACTGAAATAACAATTGCTAAAGAACTTGAACAAGAAAAACGATATAAAGAAGCTGAAATGCATTATGTTCAAGCTGGTGATTGGAAATCAGCTGCAAATATGTATCGTTTATTAGATAACTGGGATGATGCATATCGTAAATATTATTTGTTTTTTTTTTTTTTTTTGTAAATTTAAGATAAAATATTCGTTTTATTTAAAAGGTATTGCACGACAACATGGAGGTCCAGTTCCAGCTCAACAAGTAGCATTCTTCTGGGCGAAAAAGTTAGGTGGTGATTCAGGTGTTAAACTTCTCAATAAATTAGGTCATGCCGAACAATCACTTGAATTAGCATGTGAACAACATGCATTTGAATTTGCATTTGATATAGCACGACTTCTTCTCAAAGAAAAACTTCCTGAAGTTCATTATAAATATGCACTTCATCTAGAAGATGAACGTCGTTATCTTGAAGCCGAAGCTGAATTTCTTAAAGCTAAAAAACCAAGAGATGCTGTTCTTATGTATGTCCAAATTAAAGATTGGGATCGAGGTATGTACATTCTGATATATGGAGAGTAGTTCGACAAGTCAGTTCAATGAAGAAAAAATTGAATGTCTTCAACATAGTTTTACTAAATAAGTTGACCTTTTTGTTGATGATTCTTAAGGAAAATATTGAAAAGAATCGTCTTAATGTATCATTATTCACTTCGACATAGAAATGCAGAACTCATGTTGCATTAAATAGTAGTGGACCACATGTTCATATTAACCTCCAAAGGATTGACTCTTTTGTTAAGTTTTTACCGATATATCAAGTCTGCCAGCACAACGTATTAAGGGTGGCATCGATCCACTGTTTATCTGTGACAGTAGTGCATCAGTTTTACGTACAAATTTGCACTAGCCTAAACATGTACGTATAGACACTAATCGTGAAGATGGTGAATATATGATAAAACGATGGTGATGTTATCGAAATCCAGAAATTCGAATTTATCGCAGGAATGTTCGTTGAAATTCTCGTTTGACAACGGATTAGTCCAGATAGCTACCGTAGTTTTATCATATCTTCATCGATACTCTATATCGAGTCCGATGCATCTGTCTATGGTGGCACTGGTGATCATCGTCACGGTTGCATCTCCAATCTAGGTACCCCTTTATGGATGTCGTGTCAAATGTAGCCGTTTTGAAAAATTGATATCTCGGTGTTACTCCATGAAAAAGTTTTGAAACCTTATGTATGCATTAGTCTCATTAAGACTTTGATTGCGGCTAAGTTTTACCCGAAAAATTTTGAGATTAAGTTTTTTTTTTGAAAAATTGGTATCCTACAGAGGAAAATTCACTAATAACTTAGCATGTCGGTCAAGACTTCTCAGAACAGTGTATATTTTGAAATTTATTATGAATAGACGGTCTGCTGCTGTTTATTGAAGCACGAGCTTCGAAGCTATAGACTAACTGAGCAAGTTCTTTGTTGCAAGTTAATCGTGATATATTGAAACTATTCTTTTTAATACTTTATTTAAGAATCATCGATAAAAAATAGTTAGCTTGTTTGGTAAAACTATAGTGAAGATTGTTAATTTCTTCTTCGGTTAACTGACTATTAGGTCATTTTGTATAAATACATAAATTTCTTTTCATGTATCATTATCTAGCTCAAAGAATTGCACAAGCAAATGATAAAGCTTTATTAAATGACGTACTTATTGGTCAAGCAAAACAAGCATTTGATAACAATGATTTTCCAAAAGCTGAAAGTTATCTTTTACAAGCTCAACGACCTGATCTTGCTGTTAAATTATATAAAGATAATGGTATGAATCATTAAAACAAAAAGAATTTCTTGTTTTTAACATCTTTATCATTTTCATTTTTAGGTTTAACTCAAGATGCATTACGTGTATGTCAAGAATATATGCCAAATAAACTTGATGATTTACGTGAAGAATTAGCTCGTAGTGGAGGAATGACTGATAATAGAATGAATACTAGTTCTGGACATCGACCAACAACATCATATAATAATGATGGTATTCTTGAACAAGCTGCACGTTGTGAAGCTCAAGGTGAATATCAACGTGCTGTTGAATTATATTTACGTTTAATGCCTCAACAAGATATACCAAAAGAAACACTTGTTAAAGCTTATTTAAAAGCAAGTGATTTAGCAAGAAAATTTCTACCTGAAAATAAAGCTCAACATGTTGTACGAACAATTGGTCCACGTCTTGTTCAAATTGGTCATCCAAATCAAGCAGCCGAACAATATTTACATGTTGAATTACATAAAGAAGCTGTTGAAGCATTTATTGCTGGTAAACAATGGGAAAAAGCTAAAAAATTAGCATTAGAAATTGATCCACAACTAGCTAAATATGTTGATAGTCTCTATAAGAAACATTTGAAAGATCGTGGAGATGCTAAAGGATTAATTGATGTTGATGTTACAGCTGCATTAGATTTATTTGTTGAAAAAAATCAATGGGAAGAATGTTTTGTTGAAGCACAAAAACATGGTCCATTAGTTTTACATAGTTATTTAGCAAAATATGCTGCACAAATGATACAATCAAATCGTGCTGAATTAGCTGCTAATGTTTATAAACAATATGGAGCTATAGCTATACCACAAAATTTAAAAATTTATAAAGCATTATTTTATCGTATGTTAAGAATTGATTCATTAAAACATGATAATTATTCAAAATGGGCTGATGTACGTGATGTTTTACATGATGTTTTTGAAAATATGAGTTCATCATCATCAGCATCAGCAGGTGGTATACAAAAAGAAATTGAAGAACAACGACCAACATTTGAAATTCTTCTTTGGTAAAATCAAAAAAATTTCCGTCTTTAAAATGAATTCAAAATATATGTTGTTTTGTTTTTGTTCTTTCAGGGTTGCTCATATGAATGCAATGCGTGCTGCATGTTCCGAACATGAACAACTTGATATAATAACAGCTAAACTTTCAATATCACTTCTTCGTCATTCAGATATTTTACCAGTTGATCGAGCATTTTATGAAGCTGGTATAATGTGTCGAAAAGTTAGTTGGAATGAAATGTCAATGGTATTTCTTAATCGTTATTTGGATGTTGTTGATGCAATTGAAGAACATAATCCTGAACTGTTAGCAACATCAGATTTTGTTGAAACAGATATACCATATGAAATTGAATTACCTGATCAACCATTTTTACCACCTGAACAACATGAAAAAATAAAAGAACATGTTTTAGCACTTTCAATGAAACAAACAGTGAGTTTAAACTTACGAGAAAATCTTCTCAATTTAAAAATTGTCTTTGAGTTTGAACTCTATGTATAAGATAGAGTCTAATGAAGTATTCAAAACCTTGAAATATTAAGGACTTGTATGCCTTTCCTATGGAGTTATAGTCGTTTTAATGAAATTTTGCCGGATGACAGTATTTTTGATCATCAAAGTCAATCAGACTAATAACGACTGTTTGTCTCTGATCATCTGTTGGATATCATGCTGACAATATTGTGGTTAATATGTGGTAGAAAGCTCAAGCTATTGAGCGCAAAAACTCTGGGTCCAACTAGCTTTCTGTCTAAAGCTACAGCTAATACTAGCTGTAGGTTATATACCGAGCTACTGAATCTGCCACTAAGCAGCACTCCATATTGCACAGTAGCTAGAAGGCATAAATACTCTTCCTGCTTTGATCATACATAGAAGCCTCTCCTCTGCTTTAAAACCGATTTTCGATATAGTGCATGGGATTTTTATGAAAGTTTATCAATGAAAAAAAAAATGATTTCACGACTCGAAACCTTATGGTTCAGAAAATTTTCAAAGGCCATAGTACACATTAGAGCTTTCATGAGTGCAAATGTTCTCTCAATACTCTACAATCTACAGAGCTACGGCTGTTCTCATTTAAAAGAGAACTCCTTACCATTTCAGATGAGGGAAAGGCTCTTTTTAATATCATCATGGACCGAAAGAGCATTCATCTATCTATTGAACAAAAACAAAATGCATTTCATTAGAATGAACAGTATCGAAAAAATAATTTGTTCGGAACTCGACAAGTTATTTAACAACTAATTTCGAGAAAAAGATGCTAACTTTTTTTTGCTTATATTTATATGAATAACTTTCTGGTACGAGCATCAAATATGATTATATTATGTGCCTGCAACTATAAGTTTCTCTATCAATTTAGGTATTAGTTTTTCTACTGGAGAACTCTCGAAACTCATCGTTTTGAAAATCGGAAGTCATCTTTATGAATTTTCAAATTAGATATCTTACAAATCGTGACTATGCGTCTATCTCCAAAAAGTATCTTTTTTTTTTTGAGAGAGCTCGATTTTTTGCAGGAGAAGGTATTAGTCTGTTTGATTTCTGAAAATAAAGTACTGAAAGTGCATCAGAACTTGTGCGTTTTGTGTAAAAGTATCCGAAAAAAAAATTAGTGATTAGAGAGTACTTCATCTGAATTATGTCTATAGATAGGTCTAGTTGTGACTAGAATGTCATGATAATTTCAGCTGAAAACATTGTTACTCAGTTCTTTTGTATATACTGTACACGAGGTTAAAATTTCAGTAAAACAGCTATAACTTTGTAGAGAATACCTTGAAGTCCTTATTATTCTAAGGTTCTTGACATGCCATCGGGGTCTATCTTATGCACAGAATTCGAACTCAAAAACTGTTTTTAAATTGAGAAGGTTCCCTCGTTAAGTTAATTTTTGCTTTTCATTTAGGTAAAACCTGCACTTCGTCGTGATTCTCGTAATTGTATTGAATTTTCATTAATTAATTCTGAAACAAATGAACGCTCACCTCCTTGTCTAATTACTGGCTATCCAGTATTGAATGATTGTGTCATTTTTGATCGATATAATTTAATGGCAAATAAAGAGGATTGGAATAAATTTGTTTTGTCGGCGAAATCAATTCGACGTGAAACATTGCAAGATTGTTTGAAGTTTCTTGCAAAATGGACAGGAACACAACCCAATGTCAGTTTGTAGTTATGATCTATTGTACGGTTTTTTTTTTATTTGAATAGAAAAAAAAGTAATACACATTTCGAAATAAAATTATCTTCTATTGTATTTAAATCATCAATAAACTTCAATAACAATTCAGCAAAATCAACCTTTAATAATCATTCAAAGAACAGCTTTATTTATGGATGAGTTTTTAATTGAATATTAGAAAATAAACAGTATATGCAAGTAGTGAAGTCACTTCAAACATTGTCTTTTTTTTTTCGTTCCATTTGATTCTTTGTTCAAAAATGACTTGAGATGATCAAAGAAGAACATCACAAGTATTCGGTTAGTTTTATGGCTTGATAAAGTATCATGTTAAACAATTGTGAGAGAGAGAGAGAAAAAGAAGGAGATTGGTACAATCATATAGTGTCATTGAATGAAAATCGAAACAATCTTTTATATGACCTTGATTTGATCAAAGTGCATAAGAATCACTATGGTATTGACGACCGACAATTGGTATCTTCTTCTTCTTATCATTTACCAAAGAAAACATAATTTTCAAGTCGATCATAACTTTTTTTTCAATCAAATAAAGACATCACAAAGCACATAAAATCAAAGATATTCATTTAATTTTGGTTTAGTTTAGTGTCCTTCACAGACGTGAAAAACTTGTTTTTCTTTTCATCTAACAAGCACTATGTTTTACAGAATACAAAAGTACTGTTCTACATATGCCAATGTAAATATAACTACAAGTACAGTTTCTACGACAACCAACTTGTTTCATCATTTATTTCTGTATGTGTGTGTGTGTGCCTACCTATCGATAGGTCTTTCGGTATTCTAATTAGAAATAGTGTGCAATGCTATTCTCTCTTTCTCTTCATATTTCATCTGTATGAAAAAAAGAAGATGAAAGAAAGACAGCTTCGTAGAGGACTCGTGATTGTTCTCTTTCTCTTTATTGTGTCTATGTAACCACAAAAGAATCGACGAATACATATCTTTAGTGAACAATTATATGATGTTCGACAATTCAATAATATCATCGATGACAATCATCGGTTACAATCGACGTCTATCAATTGTGATTATTTTACTTACATCATTGGCTGTTCTACTTGTTGCAACATCAGTCGCTGCTTTTGTTTATGTTACACGAAAAGGTCTTCTAGAACGAATCATTCTGTACATCATAAAATAAGAGATATATTTTATATAATTTTCTATTAATAGAAAAAGTTCTTCGAAAATCCCATTTGATATCTGTAATCATTATAATACTTGTCGAACTTGCATTCTTAATTGCTGTTGTTAGTTGTTGTAGTATTCAATCAAAAAGTAAAAAGTGAAAAATTTCAAATTTTCTTATTAACGTTTTTTCTTTTAGACATTCAAGGTCAAATTTTAGCTGTTCTTCTAATTGTTCTTTCTTTTCTTGCTCTTATGACACTCATCTATTTTTTACGTAAATAATATTTATTTAATTGATTATTTTTATTTTCACAAAATATTTTTATTTCTATTAGTCGAAGATATACTTAAAGAACGAATTCAACCATATCCAAATGATACAACTATTTCGAAATCATTTGAAGTACAAGAAACCAAACCAGCTAGTCGACATGAATCACCAATACCAGCACCTATTGATAATACGGCAATACCAGTAGCTATACCGTCTATACTTCCATCATTTCCTCGAATACCAACTCCACCATTACCACGTCCATCTTCTCCACCAGAAAAACCTGTAATTCCATCACCTGAACGACTTGCAACTCCACCATTACCACTTATATCTTCTCCACCAGAAAAACCTGTATCACCATTGCCGGCAAAACCTTTGACTCCACTTTCTGTAAAAAATCTTCCTCAACTGGAAGAACAATTTCTACCATATAATAGCAGTTTTGAAAATCTTCGTCGAGGTATTATTTATTAAACTCTCATATTCTATGGCAATTCTTTGTTTAGACTTGTTAGAAGCTATTGAAGAACGAACAATTCCAGCACTTGAAGAAGCTATTCAACAAGTTAAAGACCATAATTGTATTCAACAACTAAAATATGAATGTGAACGAGCATTAGAATTATTAAATCGTTTAATGAAAATTGAACATATGAAGTGAGTAAGATTGATTGAATTTCATAGACACTGTAGCTTCCCTCCTTCTTTAGATTTTCACCTGTACCTTGGGGAAGGTAGTTAAGCTTTAACTCTCTTTCCTTTTTTGCATGCATTTATAAGCATGATACACTGTAAACTTCTTGTGAAAAGAAAAACATTATATCATTTTTATTTTTATTTCCTATCTAGAATTAAAGTACTTCGACTAAATCAATCAACAATTGCTGAATTACATAGTTATACAAAACCACCAGATGAAGTTTCAACAGTGATGCGTGCTACATTCTTACTTCTTGGACATTCAGAACGAGAAATACAAGTAATACGTTATTTTAAAAATATATATATTTATTAAAATTCATTTTAAGGATTGGCCACAAATTCAAAATATATTAGGTCGTTTTGGAAGAGAGAGTGTACGTCGTCGATGTTATGAATTAAATCCACTTAGTATACCTGTTGATAAAGCACGTGAAGCAAAAGATATATTAAGAAATTATGATTTAATACGCGTTACTGAAATATCTGTTGGTTTATCAGCATTTTTTAATTGGGTAAATTAAATAAAAACTTATTTTGTCATGATAGAAATTGTATTTTATTTTATTTCTCTAGGCTAAGACAATGATTGAAGAACGAGAAAAATTATTAGAATCACAACGAAGAATTATTCGATAGACATTTGATTAATACAAAAAGACAGGCAGAGCATAAGATTACGAATCTACTCATTACTTAGATTATTATAATTTATGTATGATTCGATATTATCTAGAGTCATAAAGGTTAGAAATGCTAATCGTAATTCCCTCTTGTTCAGAGTATTATCGATATCCTGAAATAACTTGATATATATATATATTGCTTTCATTCTAGATTGGCTTCATTAGATAGAGCATTCAATTCTGCATCAATTACTGTAAGACAAATCTAGTAAAATAATTTATTATTATCTTTCATTCGACGCTGCTCAATGACTTCTCGAATGATGAAGATCCAAAAGATTTTGTTGAAGTAATTCTTTATATACTATTCGACAGCACTTTTCAAACTAGTAGATTTTTTTAGTCAAAAGATTACCATTGGAGCGAAAATTAATAACGCATTTGGAATCAGTATCAAAAGCTGAGTAAACTTATGTCTCTTTCAACTTTTTTTGTGAACATTATTTTTTGTCGAAAAATTTAGCCGGGATTTCTCTAAGAGTCCAATCAAAAAATGAAATTCAATAAAAAGTTGTTTGAATAGTCGAGACTGAGGTCAAAGCTTACGACACCTTATTAGAATCTAAAATGGCAGATGAATTTTTCTCGACGAAAAAAAAACGTTCCTAAAAAAATTTGAAATAGACATAAGTTGACGCAGTTTTTGATACTGATTCCAAATGCGTTATTAATTTTCGCTCCAATGGTAAACTTTTGACTAAAAAATCTACTAGTTTGAAAAGTGCTGTCGAATGGTATATAAAGAGTTACTTCAACAAAATCTTTTGGATTTTCATCATTCGAAAAGTCACTGAGCAGCATCGAATAAAAAAAAATAATAAGTTGTTTTACTAGATTTTTCTCTTAGTAATTGGTACAAAATTCAATGCTCTATTTAATGAAACCAATCTGGAATGTTTGACAATGAGGAGCCAATGCTAGTATTTCTGGTCTTTAGTACTCTAGACACTATTGAATCGATCTGATATTACTACTAAACGACGAAGTATAAAATTCTGCATCGAATCATACATAAATTTTATTTAATCTAAGTAGTGATCAGATCTGTGCTTCTATGCGTCTCCGTCCCTTCTTTTTTTTTTCAAAGATTTTTGAAATGATACAATATATATATAAAGATTGAGAACAATAAAACGACAATCATCGTTTGATTTCTTCATAGTTGAATTTGTTTCGAAATTGAGAAGGAAATTTCGAATACTATATTATCTTCGATTAGTACTTTTATTAGGAACGAAAGAACATATAACACACATGATCAGAATAATGAAAAATGTTCAACGAAATTCTCTTGTGATTAAAAAAAACAAACATTAATTAAAATTTAATAATAGAAAAAAAAAACCAAAATGATAAATATCACAAATGCATACAAAAAAACTAAATATACAGACTTAAGCATCTTCTACAATGCTTGTTTCAGTATATTCCGGTAATAATCTAGTTGTACTAAATACATCAGCACTTTCATTTATTGTTATAGTATATGCATCATCATTATCCTCTTGTCGATCAATTAATAATTGTACATTTTCTGATTGTCGATGAGGTGTAGTTATATATTGTCCACCAATACTAGACGTTGATGAAAAAGATGTTGATGATAAATGTTTTATTTTTCTATCGATTGGATATCGTTGAATAATAGTTGTATCATCGTCATCATCATCATCAACTGATGATGATTGTTTTCGTTGTTGTTCTAGCTCAAGTTGATGAAGTACATGACGAATATCATGAGCAAGTTGTGTAAATGATGGACGTTTAGTTGGATCAGCATGCCAACAGACAACCATTACTGATTTATATAATAATTGAGGACAATATGTAGGTTGTTGAAGACGATAACCATGTTTTACATAAGTAAATATATCAGCATTATCAATGCCTGGATATGGTGTTTTGCCACGACTCATTAATTCCCAAAGAAGAACACCGAAAGACCACTAAAATATAAACAAAATAATAGCTGCTAGCGCAATCCTTAGTTGCTCTTGCTAATCGTAGGGATATTGTTTTATTCTATCTATTTTGAGACACATTTCTTCACCATCATTTTACTTTATTCTCCAGAAACATAATAAAGAAGTAATCTGTAATCATAGATAGCTCAAAAGTGGCGTGTTGCTATCAAAAGAAGGTTTCCAAGTGATAAATTACTTTGAAGCTGAAACTATATCTTATCGATAGTGCCCATTGAGTAAGTAAATACTCTAAGATGATTCGATTTGCTGGATCTTTGTTGCTAACATATAGAATTTTTAGTAGATTTTTCCAGTAGAGACCTACTTTTCAAGTAAATTCATACTTTTGAATTCTCTGCAAGATTTGAATCTTTCAAAATGTCCATGTTTTCTGCCATAATCATGGTAAGGCGCCTATATTCTGAATTTTTTTCTAAAAGCTAATCTAATGGATGTTTTTATGTCGGTAAATTTTCAGGTCATTATTCAAAAGTATAATCTTGCTTGAAAACTCCACTATGTATTCGAAATATCAGTAAAGACCCAATAGCTCGAACTACTCTCGAGTATTTACCTACTTTCTAGGCCCTGTTGAGTGAATTTAGTCTCATCTCGTAAGTGATTTATCACTTGGAAATATTTCCTCGTGTAAGATATCTGCCACAGGCTATGAGTAAAGGGAGCAGTGTTCATTCAGGTAAACATTAAGTGATAAAACGAAAGTTAAATTTTCTTCAATTCAAATCGTAGTAAATATACTCCAAGATATATAGTCTATCTGTTCACAGAAAAGTTTCTGTTACGAATACTAAGTAGAGCGAAAAATATCTGTCAATCAAAACTTAGCTTGAAAATATGCCCATCATTAATTTAATAAAAGTTTGATAGAAATGAAACTAACCACATCAGATTGAATTGTATATTTCGATGATTCAATAGATTCTGGACTTAACCATCGAATTGGTAAACGTCTTGGTGTTATTTGTAAAGCTGTCCCATCGTTTTCTTTTGTTGTTGTTGTTGTTGTTGGTACAATATAATAATCTCGGTCAATTACATCTCGACTAAGACCAAAATCTGATATTCGACATGTTAATTGTTCATCTAACATACAATTTCTTGTAGCTAAATCCCGATGAACAAATTTTAATGAAGCAAGATATTCCATTCCATCAGCTATTTGAATAGCCCATGTTATTAATTGTCTTACAGTTGGTCGATTATTTTCATTTAGTAAATAACTTCGAAGATCACCATTTTTCATATAAGGTAAAAGTACCATTGCTTTAAGTGATGGATCCCATGAAACACCAATTAATGAAAGAACATTTGCATGAGAAAAATCTTTCATACGATTTGCTTCAAATAAAAATTCACGCATTGATGAAACATTATGATCACGTAAAACTTTAATAGCAACTTCAATTATTTTATTTTTATGTTGTCTTAATTCACCTCGATAAACATCACCAAAACAACCTTGACCAACTTTTTCATATATATTAAGATTTTTACGATTAATTTGTCTATTTTTGCCAACTTCATACCATATTGTTTGATAATGTTGTGGTGGTTTTGTTTCTTTTGGAAATTGTTCAGATGCATGATAAAAACGACGACGTGTTAAAATTATTAATGCAAATAGAATAGTCAAAATTGTTATTGAAAAAATAATTAGTAAAAGTAAAACTGCCCATGAACCAAATTGAAGAGACACATATGGAATAAATGATGATGCTAATGATTGATTTTGATTTTGAAAGAAAATTTTTCCAATTGAAAATGTTAAATTACTTCCGACACGAATCTACAAAAAAGAAGCAGAAAATTCTTATATGTCTACCAGATGTGTACATCATCGGTACGGATGATTCACACTCGTCTCTTTTCTTGTATATTACCTCATTTTGGTACTCATTTATTAAATTTCTAAAGTAATATTGATTAAAACTTATCTTGAAAGCAAATCGATTTAACTCAAAATTTGATGAATTTCAATGTGACGAATACAATATTGTCTGCTTCTATCTTATCGAATTAAATATTCTTTCGTGATATTTCAAATATGAAACATAACTTCTTAAAAAAACAATGCACATATCTCTGGGACTTGCTATGAAAGTATTTATCATCTTTGATTCTTACGAAGAAACCATTCTAGACTTCTCTATTACTCACTACTACACATTAAATGAATAGCGTCTAGTCGGCTCAGATCTAGATCCGTAAAACTGTGGATTCTTAGCTTTCTATTTATCACTCATGGGACCAGGAACAAGTGACCACTGTTCATATTTGAGAGACTCATTCATATCGAAATTCGTTTGGACGGACTATAGACTGTTCAGTATAAGAAGGTATTCACATAGATAAGTTTTATTGTACTCGTGATTCGTCTTAGCTACTTTGAAGAATCGAAAAGAAATCAACAAAAATTCTATCTGAAGATCTATAATAGACTTTATTAGTACTTACTTCAACATTTGCTTGAGAATTTTTAATGTTCTTTACAATAAATTTAGACAATACACATAAAAGTTGAGTATTCGTAAAATTAAATGGAATACAAGTATTACTAAAATTATCTATTCGTATGTCGATTTGATCTATTGCATGTGTTGCTGCAAGATCGGAACCCTATTCAAAAACAAAGCGAAAAAAAACATTAAAATCATCAAGAACTAAACTTTTTTTGTTTTTTTTGTACCTCAAATCGAACAATATTTGTCGAATTAATTTCTTGTATCGAGTTTACAAATGGATAATAAATTGGATCATTCGCAATTATTAAAATATCATCATTCGGTATTATTTTCAGATTATCCATAATAAATAATACATTTAGATCAAATGATGGAGTTATATTAAGATTTCTATCAATTATTGGTGATAAACAAACCATTTGCGAAGTTGTAACAGATTCACATGACTATAAAAATGAAATTAATTATTATATTCGATTTTTATTTTCTAATTAACTTACTGAAATAAATTTAACAATTGATGTATTATATACAAATTTCATTATAGGTTTTTGTACAACATTAAGATTTTGACCAGATACAATCAATTTTATTCCTCCACTAGAAATTATTTTATTTTATTATTTTCTTTCAAATCTAATGAATGTGTTGGAATAATTGTCCCTCTAGGTATTTTCTCCATATCATCGTCAAGGATCATTACCATGTCTTCATCTTTTTTCATTCAAAAAAAAGATACACGATTCAATTTTCTACAAACATGCTCAATTGTCGACTTCATATTCCAATTCTGATGCTTTAGTCTAACGTGCTGTTCATTTCTCTTGAAATGGAACTAAACTTGAGTTGTCGTGATTGATTGATTTTTCATCGATTAATACAAATTTTGTTGAAAGTCTCAAAAATCACTGATTCAAAATTAACTACTCTGATTATAAGAACGAGCTTTTCAAACACTACACGATTACTATATATGTTTTTGTTAATTTAAAACTTCAACGAATAAACCTAAGCAGATTAGCGCATCGCGATAAACTTGAGGGATTTTTTCACACTTGAATATTGCCTTTGAGTTCAGACTATGTACGTCAGGTACATTAGCCTATAGTACGATATATACGAAAGAATCGAATGACAATATTTTGATATGAATATTTACATATACATAGTACTGTTTGAAACTAGAATTTTTCCTTCGGAAGATATTGAATTCCCAAAAATATGAAACTCTCGAATCTTTCGTGCAATACCTTGTGAAGAGAACACTCTAGTTTCAAGTAGAGCTATATATTTCGGTAAAATGGATGTGATTTTGTAGGGAATTCTCTCTTTAGAGGGACATTTGTTCCAATGCATTTTTTACATCAATACCTTATAATCGATTTTTTTGGAAACCAATCCAATATAATCGGATTAGCTCGACATTGAAAATATGTTTTTTCTAATTGCCATGAATGATTATTAACTTGAATATTCAATTCTAATTGTTCTTTATCATTGACACAAGCCTGATTAATACATTCAATTTCATTAATAGAATAATCATATTTCGAAATATGACATTCAGCATTGCCTAAAAAGATTTTTATAGTTGAATTTAAATTTAAATTTTGAATTCGAATTTTAGTTCCACCAACAGCTGGACCATGGTCAGGTACTAGAATTGGTTTCGGTATCTAATAACAAAAAAAGAAGAATTTTTATTTTCAATTTTTCATAAAGAAATCAATATAATTATTTACATAAACATGAAATTTTTCTGGATATTCAATTGAACCAGATATATCAGTATCACCAATAGATAATATTCTTTTAGGTTTAATATTAACAGAAATAACTCCTTCAACTGCTTGTTTTGGAATAGTTAAATTACAAGTTAAACTAAAAAAAAAAAAGGAATAAAATAATTTCAAATTTATTTTAAACGGCTAACCTGCCATTTTGTATCGTTTGAATTGTACAGAAAAATTCATTTTGATTTGGTAAAGAAAATTTTACTAAAATTTTAATTAAATGTGCTTGAATTCCTTGGAATGATCCTGTTATGGTCAATGTAATTTGTTCTAGATTTACACTTGCATTTATTGGTTGAATCTACCAAAAACAAACAGGAATATTGATGATGAAATGAAAAACAAACTTGATCAATTAATGGTGGACATCCACGATCATTCACTAATGAATTTGATGATAACGAACATTTACCATCAAACCAAATACATGGTTTATTATCATAACGTCGACTACCTATACATGATTGACATGTATCGTAAAGAGAACATGAATTATAAGCGTAACGATGAAGCTAAAAACTTGAAATTATTTATAAAGTTTTTACAACAATGCAATAGAATAAAATACCTCAGTACCAATAGCAAATATCAGTGATTCATGTTCATTATCGACAATATATTGACTATTAAATGGTTCATTATGATAGATTGATTCATGAAGAAAATAAAGTGTAGTTTGATTATAACGAATGAACTAAAAATTCAGATTTTTTTTTCTATTATGAATACAAAAACTATAAGATCGAAATTTTTTAAATTATTATCTCATCTAAAGATCAGATAATTTTACTCGATTATTATCTTCAAAAATGTATTATATGAAGAAATAAATAACTTCAGCACTTAAAATTTGATATTAGTTGTAGAACTTAACAGTCAAATGAGAATTTATTCTTAATTTATCAATATTAAATCAAAAACAAAAATTCAGTAAATTACTGAAACAGCAAAACTAATCTATGAAAAAAAATTCTTTGATTAGTAATAAAATGGTCTTTTCAATTTGTGCTAAAGAAAGGTTCGACATATATATATATCATTATTTCATAAATACCTTCAGCACATGTCGTTGACTTGTACCAATAATTACAATATTATCTTGTGTAAAAATGAATCTAATCGTTACATTAGTTTTCATAGTTTGATAAAATTTTTCTCCTACAGCACCTACAATTCCATCCATATACGTATTTGTTCGATGAGGTTGCCATGTACATTCATCTATTTCCGTCAAATTTTCTTCAATTGTCTAACAAAAAACAAAACAAAAATGATTTCCGTCAATTTCTCCTCGAAAAATATGCTCTTGTGATCGCGCATCCCGAAATTTTTGAAGAAGCTTCATTGTAGCCTATTGGCTTTCGTTTTTATTTGAAAGTGCATGTTAGACTGCAGTGCTTGGCAGTAGAAGCATCGGATTAGCATTAGTATTAATAAATACCAAGCAATTACCATTAAGTTAGCATCATTTTTATTTCTAATAGATAGATGACATGCTCTTTCAAATAAAAACAAATTAAATATATAGAATGAGGGTCTATTAGAGCTCGTCAGGTTGGTTCCATATCCGACGGACTACTCTACTCGTCTAAGAAATGTGTACGATGCGCTTGTCACCGAATACAGAAAATCGAAAAGCATGAGGCTTGTATCTTCATGGTGACTATCCAATTTCGATGAGAGATATCAAAGTACAGTATGAACGGATTCAGATCCGAAAATTTTAGACCCGACGAACTCAAAGAGAATTATGGATTCCCCGATGAGCGTTTTTTACCCTTGTTTGTTGAGTATCTACTGAAAATTTCATGTAATTTGAATACATCTGGTCCAAGACTGATTTTTGAAGGAGGAAAACGTAACTTAATATTCAAATGAATTACTTTTTCACACATTGATCTTGTTTCATCGCTATCGACAATATATGCAAGACGATAACCAAGACCTAATTGACACTGAATTTTTGATGCTTTAAATGCATGTTTTATTTCATTCATTGTATAAATACAAATTGTATTGTCATAAATAATATATAAATAATCAAAATTCTCAAATGAATGAAAAGCTCCTGTAATAATCGATGAATTATTTTGACAATTAATTAGTGGAACTTCTTCATAAGTCATACGCATTGCAATTGATGCTTGACATAATCGAGCTAAACGAGATGATTTAAGTATATAATATGTATACTGTTGATAATCAAAACCATAGATATATTCAATATTTGATGGTTTCTCATTTAAAAATGTTAATGATGTTATTAATGTATGATCACTTGATTGAAATTGATAATTAATATTATATTGAAATAAATCTTTTTTTAATTCAATTTGTGAATTAATTATATTTCCATTTCTATCATGACGATTTCCTATAAAAGCTGAACGAATTATAGTTGATGATAAAAATGTATAACAACCAGATAAACAACCAAGATAATTTGTTTCAATTGTTGAATCAAGAATATAAATTCTACTTATATCATTTGCATCATATAAAATACAACGACCAATTAATGAACGTGAACATATAATTAATAAATTTCGTGATTGTTCATATAGAAAAACACTAACACCATTTTCTGTATTATCAAGTGATGAATGAAGTTGTACACGTCGATGTAGTAATAATAATGTTTCATTTGTTGTTGACCAATGTAATTGATGTAAATGTGATGAAGATATTGCATATAATGTTGAAGTATTTGTGACATATAGTAAATTATCAATTGATGAATCAAATGTATAACATTTTATTATTATTAATTTAACTATTAAAATAATTAATGAAAAAATTGTATTTAGTTTCATGGCTAAAAGAAATATATATATAATATAAAAGAATATGAGAAGACTGCAAGTGTCAAGTATCAATTGTATGTAATGTAAAAGAATCGAATGAGAATTTTGTTTAATGTGTAAAAGAAAAGAATGAATAGATTGCTTTGATTTGTATTTGAATGAACTCTATTCAAATATTCGAGATGACTATTGTTTGATTGCAAAGAACAAAAGAAAGGAGAATATTATTTTTCAGGATATTGTTAAAATTTTTATTTTTTTGTTATCGATCAACTTACTTTCAACACTTTCAATTTATAAATAAATAATGTTGCATTTCCTTTTCTTCTTAATAGGATGTTATTGGACTATTAAATATCATATTTTGCAAGACGAAAACAACACTCATTTTATTAATATTCGAAAAGAAGAAAAAATGTTTCTGTTCTGTTCGTTGTTCGAAGAAGAAAAAAGAATCGATTACTCGCATTTATTTCTTCCAATTCGAATGTATCCCGGTTGGCATTATAAAGTCCCTATTAAATTTTTTTTCCCATCCTCATTGATTCCGACTTTGTCACTTTAACATTAGCACATTTTAAACATCATATTTATAATACTCATGATGAAATAATTACATTTTTATCATGTAGACTTTAACAGAAGAATGAACTTCGTTTTTTCGTTTGCAATGTACGAAAACGAAAATATTGATTCAATCCCTGAATTTCATCTTAAAGACCGTTAAAATTTTCTTGCATACTACTGTAGTGGTCATATTTCTTTTAATAAAGTAAATATCAGGTAAATTATTCAAGGACGAAAGTGTCGGGAGAGGGATAAATTCAGTAAGTTTCTCATGTGACCAATTAGAAACTACATCAGTCGAAGGTCATATCCTTCTCAGCTGTTTCTCGTATTTGATAAGAATGAAATGAAATATATGTAATACATGTCTGCTAATAAAGAATTATTAAGTAAAAAAACAAAAATTAGACATTTACCTTGTTTTTATTCAATTGGTACTTTATCGGTCATTTAGCGCTTGTCTTTCTCCTTCTGTTTCTTGCTCATTCGTCTGTATGTGTACATTTTATAATCATTTCGGTCATTGTCCGAAACAAAGATTAACATGCAACGAAATATGCACAGCCTACGAAGATATACGCGGTGAACTTGTTATCGTTGTTCGTTTGAGGTCATTCAAAAAGAAAGAAAAAAAAAAAAAAAGGAAAATTAAAGTCCTTGTACCAAATTGAATGCATGGAGAAGAACAAATGAGTATTTAGTTGTTGTGTATATAACCTTTCAATGAATAATAGTGTGATTAAACAAAACAAAAACTAATTTAAGGTTGGTAATTGTTCGATTGAACAAAAAATGAACGATCAGATTTATCGTTAATAGATCATAAATAATTGAATGTTTTGTAATGAATCGAATTCATGAGTGTACAAGAAATTTTACTAATTATACAAGATTCAGACTAGATGAACACAACACGTGTGGTGGTAAACAAATGTGCATTTAGTTGATTGCTAGGATATTAGTTATCATTTTGCATCGAAAGAATAGTACATTTTCTTACTAATGAGTATTTGTGTATTCATTAAAAAAAGTTAATAATTACTACGTAAAGGAACAAATGGTAGATTAATAGTCTCTAGATTATAGTTGTCGTCAATTCATTTTAATTCCATTTAGTTTGATTTATTTGTATAATGATGACCTTGTAGATATATGAGAATATCTGTGAAGTAAACATTCATGTTAGAACAAAACAAGAGTTTTGAAGTGATGATTTAGTATAATTCAGAGTCGGAGATCATATTTACATAATTTATTTACAAAAAAAAAGAATTAAATTTAAAAGGCATATAGATACTTTTCATACTTGTTTGATAATTGTCAATTATCATGTTTTGTCGTTGATGAATGAATAACGTTCTGTCAGTTAGTATTGACATGCTATTTGTTTGTGACACATTTCGGTTTGATAAATCGATACAACAATCAAATGGTTGATATTAGGTATGGTTTGTTCTATCGTAAACCAAGAACAAAAATTCTGTTTTGCTTTCATTTGTAAAATTAACAAAAAGTTTTCAAAAAAAGCCAATTACACAGTATGTCAATTCGGATAAAGATGGAAATTTATCGGGATTTGTACGACTTAACGATAGATATAGCTATATACTTGTGTATACCTACGAATCTCAAGTTCGATCTTGTAGACCTAGTCTTTATTTTCTTTTCGAAGAAAAAAATAGAAAATACTGCATTTTTATCAGTATAAATAAAGACAATTGTACACCAAATCAATTATATTTTCAAGAAGTACAAGTGCGTAGTCACTGAATACAATGAAGATGAAAACATCAATATGATTATAATGAAGAAGAGTCAATTTATAAAAACAATCCAGATCGAGCCATTTCTTGATCTATCTTTTCATCATCGTTTATCTACCGAGGAAAATGATCCGACTGATAATTGTCATTTAAGATAAAATTTTACTCGATGGTAGAAGCCCTAGTATAGATAAAAGCCTTGAAATCGTTCGTGTCATAAAGCCTTTTTGCTTCAGTTATGGTCGTTTTACTGAACCTGCAACTTATTACAAGATATCACGAGAAAAGTCGCAACAAGCAGTCTTGGTGTGAAATTCCCTTCAACAAAAGCTCTCCTGGCTCTTATATGATATCCTGAAAGTTGCAGCTCAATGGGATGTTTCTCTTCTAAACGCATATCGCCATTTTTTGTGAAAACCGTCAGTTAACCGATGGTTTTGTTCAGTTGTATTTAATAACTAATTTATGAAAACAATTAGCCGCAAATGTATTTTTAGTACCGAAAGTTTATCTGTTACCATAAAAAAGGAGTATATTAGGCTTCTTCTTTTAATATATATGCATTGCTTTTATAGCTAACATACATAAAAATTAAGTGTGTAAAAAAGAGGTTCAAACAAATTTCTCATTAAATCCATTTAATGTTTACGAGAAAAACGATTTTCCAGTTCACATTCGCCAAGAACTTTATGACACAAAGATTGAAGAAAAGAAAAACATTGAATGATTGTAAAAAATGATCGAGAACAATCTTCAAAGATTTTCATAAGTAATGACAAGTAACGAAGAATAAATACATTATAGTTAAACAAGGTTTTTCTTTGTTGTCAAATTGATATGTGTGTCTCGGTCAGATGGTATGCTTCTTTTTCTTCACAAACTTTATTTTTCATCAATTTCGAATAATTGATAATCATATTATCATGTTTATATTTCTGGAATGTCATGAGAAGATGTGAGTGTGATTAGAATGTCGCGCGACCTATTGTTGAAGCGAAACGTTAAGAAAAATCAGAATAATGTGTTCTCCAAACGAGAGGAGAGCAGCTCCTACATTCCAAAACCACCTTCGTTTTCAACTAATTTCAATTTTTTAGTTTAAGATAAACAATTATAAAAGCACAATATCATACGAATGAAAAGCTGAACGGTATAAGTGTATGAGGTGTAGAGTATTGATCTCGACGTGGGAGTGGATGTTAGTGAATGGAAGACCCATTTCCAATCACACGCACACAGATATCCTGCATATACTCACATCCCTCACCCACTCCCCTCACAGATTTTCGAATATTTTTCTATTTTCTTTTTTTAACAAGATATAGAAAAAATAGGAAAATTGATCGAAATAGGGCAAAATATAGGAATTATACGACAAATCCGATCCCATAGAATCCATTGATAGAATATAAACTTGATTAATTGAAACATTTGAACGATCATCTTAATCAAGAATATATTAAACAAATTTACGTGGATCATGTTCGAAATTTAAGTACACATCTTTCTGAAGACATTAAAAAGTATCAAACATATATCGATCATGCTAATCATGTGGAAAAATTAGAAGTTAGACGTACACATTTAAGAAAGGATGTCGTTCATAATAATGCATTTCTTCAATATTTTAATCAGTAAGTAAATGAAATACACATAGATTTAAGAGAAAAAGATATTGATGATTTATCAGTGAAAATAAGTTTAGATAAAATAAAACTATTTTCAGAATATTTTCACGCTATTGGTGATGCATATAAAACTGCTTGCTAATTATTCGCTAAAAAAGAGTCGATAGTATAGTTGAATCTTTGGAAAATTGTGTGCCAGATAATAAATTTGATGAAAGTGCTATTATGATAATGAAATTATTTGATGCACGCACTGTTTTACACGATCATGTAGATTATAACGACAAGGAAATCAAATACTTAAAATTGAATGAGGGTACGGATATTTGAAAGAACAATAGACACACCTATACTGACATCCTTTAGATATATGTCCAGACCAAAATGAGCATTAAGTATGTGTAAATAAACATTACATATGTATTTTTTTTTCTTCTTTTGTTTAGATATATCTGAATAACACAATGAATAGTAATGCATTTATTTGGAAAAAGAAATTCTTTTTCGTTATTTAGATTCAATTCAAGATCAAAATGAACAATGAATATAGTTGAATAAAAACAATATTGTTTTTAATTATTTATGTCTCATGGGGAGGGAAAAGTACAACTATATTTTCAATCAATCCCATCCATTTGAATAGCTTTAAAAGAGTTCTTAACCGGTTGTATTTTTATCAAGAAGTTCATTTGTTTGAAGATGAGACAGATTTTTTACCTTTCTTACATATATAGTTTCGCTTTACGAAAGAATTGTAAATTTTAACGAGACTCATATTTTGTTTCTAGTGAGTTAAGGCGTTTTAGAGAATCGTGAATATAAAAATTAAGTGTAATCTGCTAGTGGTTTTCGTCGCTTAGTCCTTTCATATATTCAAGTGAAGAAAGATTAAAATATGTGCCATCAAATAATAAGCATACTTGTATTTTCCATTCATTCCATGTTCTTATGTGCTGTAGCGGCATAGTTTTTTTTCTGTTACAATATCTCAGCCTTAATTCAACACGTAGTTATATTTTACTTTCATACAGTTATGGTCAAACTCTATTTTTAGTCGTACAACACAAATTTATAAAGACGAAAGACAGTTATCTAGAAAACAAGTCTTTATTATTTTTTTTTTCAAATATATCTCTAGTGATGTGGTAATAATATAAATCTTTTGTTTTATCTTTCCTAAATAGCTTAATAATCACATTTTCGATTATATTTAAGATTCAACTGACACCGCATAACATAGAAACGTAGAAATGAAAGATTTAAATTACTGCAACACTAAAAATGTATTTGAAAAAAAAAATTATAAAGGCCCCTTTCTAGTTAACTGTCTTTCATCTTTATAAATTTGTGTTGTGCAACTAAAAATAGAGTTTGACCATAACTGTATGAAAGTAAAATATAATTACATATTAAATTAAGACTGGAATGTTGTAACAAAAAAACTATACCGCTGTAGCAAGAAGACAAAAGCAGCAAATTCTTGTAAATAAAATATAGACAGTGAATGCAAGGATTAAAATTTTCGAAAATGCTCGAAAAAAATTGGACATGATTTGACGCTTCATTAATTTTGTTTTTTGACTAAATTTATTCGCTCAAAAGTTTTTCATTATTTTTGCACAGAAAAAAAAACTGGTCATATTTTTCAATTAAAAATTTAAATCCGAAAAATATGCACAAAAATTAGATACACTCTTTAAAGAGCAAATTAGTACAACAAATGACACTTTTTTTTCTGCTTGGGCGACTTGTTTTAAGAAAATAATTATGATAAATAATTATTTCACTAATACGTCAGAAATAGAGCCTACCAGCATGAAAAGAAAAACCAAACTCGATCATTTCGATAAATTTACTATTGAATCAAGTTTTCTGATCCCAAAATGTTTTTAGTCAAGTTTTATAAAATTCAATTATTTTCTTGAACTAAACATGTCCTGACGTAAAAATATTAAAATGGTATAGGATTAATCTTGTTTCAAGCGTTTAATCATCTAATTTTAAATGAAACAAGTGTTAGAAAAATAGCTTAAACATGATATTAATATTTGAGTGATTCGTTCTCTGTTAATATCAATGGTTTATTCATCTGTCAAAGTTTTCAAAAAATTAATTTAAACGGTTCTTTACTATTTCTAAGACAAATTCTTTTATGAGTACTTGTAAGTCGCAAAACAAAAAAAGATGTAAGAACTGTATCCTTTTTCGGAACCACAACGATGAAGATGCAAAAAGTTCAACATGAAACCATTGAGCAAGCTAAAATAATTAATATAAATCTGAAGTCTTCTCAAAGATTAATAAGTTTATATATTAATGAAATCAAAGATAAAAATTTCAAGAGAAAAGATAAAAAAAATGGTTTAATATCGTTTTAATTAATAATTCTTATGAATAGAAACAAAGTAATTAGACATGACTAGATAATACATAGTAGTACATTTTGTAAAACACAATCTAGAAAAGGGTGTTGAAGTATATCGGAGCTTCTCGTACAGATCGTCAGAGACGGCCATCAGAGCATGTGGAAGTCAGACGTAGGTATGATTGTAGATGCAGTGTGTGTTTGTTCTCTTTTCACAGAAATCCACATCTGGATCTGAGTTTAGGACAGTTGGTCGCAGGACATTTGGTCGCCGGACAGTTGCGCGCGGGCAGTTGGTCGCAGGACAGTTGGTCGCATGGACAATTGGTCGCATGGACAGTTGATCGTATAGTGTAAATAAGAGGAATATGAGTATAATAACCACACAACACTAATACAATGAATTGATCTCGTGTGGAAGAATAATCATCATGATTGAGTAATTGATGTAATTAATTGAATATTGCTCAAATTGAGGATAGTAATCTAATGATCATTTTCATTTAACGATAATCATGTATACATATACGTGTATATAAGTTGTTGAAAATTGAAAAAAGTCATTTTACGAAAGTAATAATGTCTGTTACTCTAACAAAAACTTCTAAAAATACACCTTTATTAATACACAACAGTCACTCGTATACAATTGATCGAAAAACTGTAACAAAAATTCTTTGGAAATGTGAATACTCAAGAAAATATTCTTGCCATGGACGACTGCACACAACATCAAATTATGAATTCATTAAAATAGTAGGTGAACATGAAAATCATGTTGGCAATTCACGATGCGCAGCAACTCGTAAATATTTTGAAAAGTTAAAACAAGAATCAGAACAAAATCATACAAATCCACATAATATATTAACTCAAGTAAACATTGGTGTACCAGATGAGGTACTTGTTCAATTACCAACGAATGGTAGTTTAAAACGAAATGTTCGTCGTTGGCGCCAAGTAACTACTACTGAACCAACACCAACAACCATTGATTTTCCAGTTATTCCAACAAAATATCATCAAACAACTCGTAACACTATCTTTTTTCGGAAAGATACAGGTCCAGGTTTGAACAGAATGTTATTGTTTTTCACTGATGAACAACAGCAAATCATGGAAAATGCTACAGTAGGTTTTTAAAATATTAAATTTAACTGATAAAATGTTTTCATTATAGAACTTTTTCATCGATGGTACATTCAAGATCGTACCAGAGATCTTTTTTCAATTGTTTGCAATACATGCATTATACAGGGATCATGTAATTCCAGTAGCATTTGTTCTTTTACCTTCTAAATCAGAACAGATTTACCAAAAAATGACTAACGAAATTCTTCAACTAGCTCCAGCGTGGCAACCACAGAGAGTTATGATGGACTTTGAAAAAGCCACGATCAATGTATTTAAACGCACATTTCGAACGATTGAACTCAGTGGTTGTTATTTTCACTTCAGCCAAAGTGTTCTTCGCTTCTTGCAAGTATGATATTCTTATGATAAAAGTTTTTAAGACTTAATTTTGTTGATGTGGTATATTTAGGCGAATGGTTTCAAGGAAACTTATGAGAATGATGTAGTTTTTGCAGATAACATTCACAAGATTCTGGCATTAGCATTTATTGAACCACCTATGGTTGCTAATGCTTTTGAACTATTATGTACTAATCTGGATGACAATTATCAACAAATACTCGATTACATAGAAGACAATTATATTGGAAGAATGCGAGGACGCACCCGAAGACAAGCACCTTATCCAATTGATTTTTGGAACATGGTGGAACGTGTTAAAAACAATATGCACCGCACCAACAACAACATAGAAGGCTGGCATAGAAAATTAAATAGTGCATTCCAATGCAGTCACCCAACATTATGGTCGTTTTTAGATAAATTAATGAAAGAAGAAAATAATATTCATTCGGACATTCTTAATGCAATGACAGGAAGACAACCACCAGTAGGAAAATATGAATCGTTCAATAAACGACTTCGTCAATTAGTAGACAATCCACATCCTAATATTTATGATCAATTAACGTGCATTGGACGTTTATTGTCTCTATAATTTTTTTGGGTTGCTGTCTTATTCACTATTGAAAACTTTGTTTTACTTGTTACATTTTGTTGTCTTATTGTTCGGATTTCTCTCTAATGTTCTCTGTTTAATAATTTATAAAATAATAAATAATGTTCAATTGTTTTTGTACTTCATATTCCTCTTATTTATGCTATGCGACCAACTGTCCATGCGACCAACTGTCCTGCGACCAACTGCCCGCGCGCAACTGTCCGGCGACCAAATGTCCTGCGATCAACTGTCCTAAACCCTTTCATCAATTGTAAAATATGATAGATTTATAATTTCTAACTGATTAGTTTCAAATATATTTAAATGGTGTAAATATTGTGAAACTATTCGTCTACATCGATTTGCACCCAAAGAATTTACATTTATACAATTGTTCAAACGTATTACTTCTAATAGAGATAATACCTTCTTTAGAAATATTTCGATTTCATTAAATGTTGCATAACATTTGTCAATGTTAATACGTGTGAGACTCGATATTGAACTAAATTCATCTTTAACGTTGTTCTCCTTCAATTGATCTACTTGTTCATAAGTCAATCAACAGAGTTAAGAAGAACATGAAACTGTGAGTGCGGATATTAATCTTTTGCACACCCATACCAACAGCGGTGTATGACTTGACCGTATTTAAATTAGATAGAAAAATCATATTTCTAGGAAAGTCATTTTTTTACATATATTATTCGGTAAATGTGTAAAAAAATGACTTTTAGAGGAAGAAATACAAGTACAATTCTTGCTAACTTCTAAAGGAGTAGATATACATAGATTAGATAAATATATCCATCATTACTAGAAAATTAGCTGTAAATAGGATACGTTCAAAATGATTCACCGGGAATCGCTCTTATACGTTCTTTTGTAACAATAATATGCCATTTAAACGCATTCAAATGCATTTTTAGAAAAGCGTTTTATTCGATACATATCCGTTTCAATTACTAAATGATGCGTTTCAATGCATTTTAAAAACTGCGTTCAAAGTCTAGCGAAAACATGTGAACTAGAAAAAAATGCGTGGAAACGCAAATTTTTACAAATTTTTTTTTCATGGGCACCGAGAAGTGCCAAGAAGTACGAAGAAGTACGGAAAAGGGTGTGGGTGTGGGTGTGAGTGTGGGTGTGGGTGTGGGTGTGGGTGTGGGTATGGGTGTGGGTGTGGGTGTGGGTGTGGGTATGGGTGTCGGTGTGAGTGTGGGTGTATGGGTGTTCGTGTGAGTGTGGACG